GCCATCCGGGAACTTCAATCCGCTCCACAATTTGCAGGCGAACGATTTTTGCCATAAAGATGCCCAGTATGAAAATCGCTATCCTCTTCTCGGCTTACCACGTCCAAACCTTCACAGCGACCTCCAGCGCCTCCTGCAGGGCATCGAGGAAGCCCGTCAATACGTAGTTGCATCTAGGGCATTTGACTGCATTGAGCCCCTTGCCTTGCCTGCAGAAGTCCCCTTAATTTTACCAGTACAATCACCGCGTCAGAGAAAATCACCCTCGGACACTGAGTGCAGTGAATCCGAATTGCCGAATAGCTGCTCCGGTAGCGAGGGCAACAGACAGACATTTGAAGGGCAGGGTGAATCGAGGAAGAAGCGTGCACGAGTGTCGTTCTCTAATGAACAAGTTATGGAGTTGGAACGCCGCTTCTATCGACAACGCTACCTTTCCAGTGCCGAACGCAGCGAACTTGCTCGGACCCTCGACCTCTCTGAAACCCAGGTATAACATTTTTTTCTACAAATCTTGAAACTACAATAAGAATTGCATATTAATTGACTTGTGCCCAGTTTGTATGTGTGTGAGCTGCCTGATAGTCACTTGGTTAGAGGGGAAACAATGTCTTTTGTTCTGGCTTGGTCTGTCGATCAATACACAGGCCGATTGGTAAAGTTTGTGGTCTATTTGTTTGCCGGGGCGTCTGGTCAACAACTTAATGAACTTGATGACCACCACATTGAAAGCAAAGTGTTCGAGCGCTCCGAGTGTTGGATTTGTCTTACAATTACTGCCAATTATTTTCAGGCATCGACTGTGTTGATGTAGCAAACGCCTAACTGTGTCCTTCTATACCGGAATGACCTGCTTATTATAATTGGTTCCAACCTGAACCGACAGGACTTGGGTATAGCTTAACTGACAGTGCGTTTGACTTACCATGCCGGGGTGTCCTACTGGCATGGGCCCGATTTATCATGTGGTTGTCTCAGGGGACGGGTATTTGCATTCCCGTTGGCTGCTAAATAAGAGGTAAACGAACATTCCCTTGACCACTGTCTTTATTACAAATATTCGTCGGTCAACTATACGTATTCGAGCAAGGTAGCTGTTGCTGCAGCTTAACTCTAGCTGAATATGATGCTCAGGATAACTGGATCTGATAGTGTTGGTGTAGACATCCTTTCATAATCCACTGATTCTTTTCCACACTCATTTACTTGTTACCGTCAAACATAAGTATATCTTAATAGTTTATATAGGCCCATATTCTTCAGCATAAATGTATATACTAATGTTTGCTCGCCCATAATATGGTTGGTGATACAGCGCCCGCGTTCGGCAGCTATTTCTTTTGCGATCCATTTATTTGATCCTATTACACTCTGGTTCCACTTTACAATATATAGCTAAATTGTCATAAAATGCCATGACACTATACGTTTTTTAGCCGATAATGGTTTATGACCCACATGCGCTTCTGTTCACGCCCAAGTGCACACTTAGGCAGCTCTGGAGGTTTAAGCCTGACGTGTGTGCGCTATTTGTTGTCCCTGTGACCTGACATATTCTGGCAGCCATAAGG